ATAATTCTGTATAGTTTTCCTCCAAAGTGACTTGGGGTTCATAATCCTTTAAAACCGGTATTATCTTTACCCACATTTTACAAATAAGGAATTAAAGGTTTGACAACTACTTGCCCAATGTGCACATAGATTAGTATGTGTGAAGCTGGCTTTAGAAGCTTATTCCCTGACCCCCAGCCCCCAATCCATAGTCTGGACACACACACACACACACACACACACACACACACACACACACACAACCTACATTTGACAGGTTGCTTTGGATATCTCTTGTTACTCAACACAATGTTTTGTATTTTTACACATAGCTTTTTACAGGTCCCACCAAATATTGTTTCATTGGTTCTTCTCAAGACTTCAGTGAGAACAATCAATATATGTTGTCATTTCTGGACTTGTTGCTTGTTGTTGCCTTTGTTATTCTGGTTGACTTTTTACTTGTTTCGTTTTTAAATTCTTCTACAACTAGCACATATTGGGTAGAAATACTTAACATCATTTTCTATTTTATTTCTACCAATATTATAAAGTAAAAAAATCTTATAAAATGCCAACTCCTTAGTGGCTTGATATAGTCTGAGACTTGGGCCATTTTGAAAATAAATATGATTTATAATTATTATGAACACTCAGATTATAACTTCATACTTTTTACTATGGTACTTATCAGATACCATACCACATTAAGTCTCTGGAAAAGACCTTTTAGAAATTCGTTGCTTGCTATTAGTTAAAGAACATTTTGGGATATAATTGACTAGTACTGAAAAGATACTTTAAAATTTATTGCAAAATCTTTCTGTGAATTGTTTCTCCAAAGATGTAATTTGTAATAAAAGCATTATTCATAAATAATAATAACCTTCAGGTTTTAGTTATAAATTTAATAACAGCATGCTTAAAAACAGTTGATGGCTGTCTATTTTATTCTAGTCATGTTATGAAGATATGGAGATTATTTTTCTAATTGAATATACATATATTTACATTTATCATATAATTAGTATATGTTTTGACTATATTCTACATATGTTAATAAAATAAAAAATCAGAGCCAATTGAATTACATGGGATTTCTATGTTTTTTATCTAGTTTGTGAATGCAAAACAACTTAAAAAGTGAATTTAGGGCTAGAGAGATGGCTCAGTGGTTAAGAGCACTGGCTGATCTTGCAGAGGACTTGGGTTTGATTCCCAGCACCCAAACATGGGTTAACAACCATCTGTAACTCCAGTTACAGGGGTTCTGATGCCTTCTGATCTCCATGGCAATTGAATGACACAGGTGCACTTACGTACATGCAGGAAATACACTTAACAAATTAAATAAAAATAGGGGCTAGAGAGATGCCTCAGCAGTTAAGAGCACTGACTGCTCTTGCAGAGGACCCAGGTTCAATTCTTAGCACCCACACGGCAGCTATGAACTGTCATTAACTCTAGTTCCAGGGGAATCCGATGCCCTCTTCTGACCTCTGTGATATTTCACGACACGGGTGCACTCACATACATACAAATACAATACACTCATACACATAAAAAATAAAAATAAATAAAATATTTTAAACAAAATAAAATAAATAAAATTTTTAAAATGAGTTAAATATTAGAGGAAAAAAATGTGTTTGTTAAGATGGCTCAGTCATTAAGGGTTATACTAGCATGCTGCTCTTGCAGAATACCCAAGTTGACTTCCCAACACCTTCATCTGTGCAGCTCACAACTTTCTATAACTCCAGCTCTATAGGATCTGGTTCCCTCTTCTGGTCTCTTTCATTTACATGCACATACTTCTACACAGACATGCACACATACATATAATTTAAAATACATAAATTTTAAGCCAGGTGTGGTAATGCATGCCTTTAATCCCAGCACCTAGGAGGCAGAGGCAGGCATGTCTTAGTCAGTTTGAGGCCAGCTTGATCTACACAGCAAGTTACAGACAGCTGGGGTACTGGGAGACCTTGTCTCAAAAGATAAAATAAATAAATTAATTAAAAATAAATTTTAAATATTATCAAATTTACTCTTATCTCAACAAAGTTCACTGTTTTATTATTTTTATTATAAAAATATCATACCCACTGGGCTTGGTGACACACGCTTTTAATCTCAGCACTTGGGAGGCAGAGGCAGATGGATCTCTGTGAGTTCAAGGCCAGACTGGTCTACATATTGAGTTCCAGGTCAGCTGGGGCTACAGGGAGACCCTGTCTCAAAAAGACCAAAAGAAAAGAAATCATACCCCCCCCAATCAAGATTATGTAGGAAAAAAACAATATTTTCAATATTTATGATTTAGAATTTCCCTAAATTCAGACTTAATTAAAACTTCTTTTTGTGAAGTTTCTTTAGCCTTTTTAAAAATGCCCATTGCAAAATGAAGCTCTATTGATGAAAGCTGGGCACAGCAAGATTCTATGTTTATAAAGATAAGTGTTTAGAAGGCAGTGACACCATGTCCATTTAGCAAAAGCAGCAATAAGTTCTCCCCTCAGACCTATGACAATAGTAGGTTTAGAGCACAAATATGGTGAAGGCATGAGTTACTTCCTGTGGAGTGGTCTGTAAATGCTGTTAGTAACCCATCATAGTCATGCCAGTGTACTAGTGGGCATATCTTGCCAGGAAGGTCATCATTGTTGCTCCTGAGGTGCACAGCTGAATAGGACCATTGATAATTTTTGTTTCCCAGAGGCTTGCTTGCATGTCACCTTCCAGCACTGTGAACGCTAGCTTGCAGGGACGACCAGCTCAAATCCAGCTGGATTTATCAATGCCTTGTAACCTATGTAAATGCCACATATTCTTGGTAGTTATTTCTGTTGTTATTTTCACATCTGTAAAATGAGAGTTGCATACTGAAATATCTCAAGGCAGTTGTGTGGATAATCATATTAAAATTTTGAATATGTATTTATACAGCTTTAGATCACAACAATTATTTGTATTTTAGAGAAATATCTACCATTCTTGGAAATTTGATTTATGTGTCCAGGCTTTTCTTTATATCTTCCAATAGTCAAATATGGCAGGAAGTTGAATAATGTTTGAAAAATTAAAGATTAAATTTTATACTTAATATAAGCCTGGATAGGTGTATTTTATTTTACTGCAGATTTTTGAAAATTGTTAATCTATAGTGAACATTTGATTAATTAATCAACTGAAGGGCAACCTTTTCTTTATCATATTTATTTGAGAGAGAGTCATTTATAAGTACATAATCTCAAAGAAATGAAGGGAAGGCTTTTTGAAAAATACTATTGTTGATTCTGGTATGTAAAATCTTGATAATGATCTGTTCACTATTCAGATATGAGACATAAACTTTGTATTACAAATTTTATAGTTTTGACTCATTATTTTTGTGCTTTTTGTTTGTTGGTTTGTTATCCATCTGAATATCAAATTGTGTGTGTGTGTGCATGCAGATTTTAATTCAACTTTATTGTGCATATGAAGAATAAATCTCAAAGTTCGGCAGGAAAATAATTACAGTTGTGAACCATGTTTGTTTTGTGAGGTTACTAAAAGCTGTACAAGTGAAAGTGACTCTTTTCTGATCAGCATTTGAAAAACTCAAATGATGTAAGAAGTTATAAAGTTTTTCCTGGCCTTTGTTAATTGAATTACTTGAACACAATGAATTACAATTTTCCAAAGTAATTCCAATAAGAAAAGTGTATTGTCTTTATTTCTAATTCTATGAGGAAATATTGCAGTCTAGAGCAAATGAGATTTCCTTTGTCTGGCATTATTGTTAGTGTTGAGGAGTCTGTTATTTATTAGTGCTCTAAATAAACATGAGAACAAAGCAAGAAAAATGACATTCTAGTGAATGAGTGCTATTGTTTTAATCACCTTCTTATGGAATAAAATAGTAGAATATGTGTCAAAACAGTTCTTTTAGCTATATATACATATATATATATATATATGCATTCTATATAAATCCACTTGTATATGGTGGGAGAATTCTTGGGGACATTTATTTCAAGAAAATTATGTGTAACATAAAAGATTTTTCAAGAAGAATAAAGATATTAGTTATGAAAATCAAGAAATAAGATGATGAACAACTGAATAAAAGTTTTTCTTAACAATTCTAAATGAAAATGATTAAAGAATGATTTTCTATTGCATTTTTAGGGTGGCATTTTCTTTTAATTATTAGTATTGCTATACCTGATATTAAGAAAGCATACATTATTTCATTTTACCTTTCAAAATTTTGAAAATCTATTTACTTTCAAATGGTATTTTCAGAACATCACAGAATAACCTATTTGGACAAAGGAACCTGGCTACTTGGGAACATCAATCAAACTGGCTACTTTAGAGTAAACTATGACTTAAGGAACTGGAGATTACTGATTGATCAATTAATCAGAAATCATGAGGTACATTCTTGATCTACTTGTGAATGATCTGTTTTGACATATGAACACCTGTCATTTTAATTCTCAATGATTCCCCCACTTTTTTCCTAACTGGCCTCACAGGTACTTTCTGTCAGTAACCGTGCTGGTTTGATAGACGATGCTTTCAGCTTGGCCAGGTATGTTTTTCTCTGGATCTCCACAATAAAAATTCATGCCTGTAATACTTCCTCTAGTAATTTAAATATTATGGATATTATCTTTTTATTTAAGAATTTTAAAAGATAATTATATCTGCCGATTGTTTCATTTGAATCTGAATTATACTCAGTGACTCAAATTCAATAATAGCCACAGGGAATTTCCAAGACATGAGAAGCTTGATCAATTTCACCGCAAGTTCGGTTTAACACTCTGGAGATTAATATGATCTCCTCATAAATGAAATCTACAAAATGACCATGGTGCATTATTTAACTTCTGTTAGAGAACACCTTCAAGCATTAGCAGTGTTTCTACCACACATGCCACGATGTCCTTTAAAATGTGTTTTTATGTGATTTATTAGGTAAGTTTTTGCTGTGAGACATAAATAAGTATTCTACAATATATCAATCTTGTGCCAAAAGCTTTTAGTTAATTATAATAATATTGAGTGACTTTCACAATTAGATTTATAATGTTGAAATCAGTTATCCCCTCAACTAGTCATCAAATAAAAGAATGTTGATCAAAATGTTTGCTAAACCTGGATATTAGACAGTAAAATAAACTCATTTCTTTGATATTTTGTACCTTTTCACACTTGTGTAGTATTGTAATTTTAATACAAGATTAAGACATGGAGATTTTATTCTTCCTTAACTTTGTTATGTTTTTCCACATTTTCTTCTAATTGTGTGCATCTGGTTAGTTATGTTTGCACTCATGTGAACATGAGACTTTATCATGGGACCTGAAACTGCTTTTACAGTTTATGTATTCAAGCAGATCTCAGTTCTCTTCTGTATGTGAAAATCCACTTTATCCCCTGCAGCATTCCAATCCATCAAAACTAATGAGATTATATATAGAGCATTTGATAATTATTTCAACAGAAGCAAAACAGAAGATTTAGAAGAAACTTGAAATGATTATTGTTGTTCTTTTTGTGGGTGTGTTTGTATAAATAAGTAATGACCATAAAAAAAGACTACTGAAGAAATTCGAGGTACTTTCTACTGACAAACAACAACAACAACAACAACAACAACAAAAACTAAAAAAGGCCAAGGAACAACTCTGACCTCTGTATTCTTTATGATCCTGGGATGCACAGGACCATCACTAATTACCTTTCTTCCCTTGGCATTAATGTGTGTCAGTGCCTCATTCTGAGGAGGCACATTGGGCTGCAAACAGAATTCTGCTAGTCTTTGAGACATACATCTAAGAACTATTTTCAACAAGGAAGTTGCTATTAAAATTATATTCATTATGTCTGGCAAGAGGTTCACTGAGTAAAAGTCCTTTCTACACAAGGCTGATGACCTGAGTTTGATCCCCAGAACCTACAGTGGAGGGGGAAAACTGATTCTTGAAAGTTGTCCCCTGATCGCCACAGGAGCCCCATGACATGCACCTGCCCACATGTACTCACATAAACACATCACACACAGATGCACGTGTGTACAAACAGAAATAAAATTTAAAAATTAAAATAGTAATAAAGTAAATACAGCCCTTAACGAGCAAATGTAAGCAAGGGCCCAACCATGCAATGGCACCATCTTATCATGCAAAAAATTAGAAATGAGGTGGAGAAAGGCTTATTGAGATGGTGAATGTGGAGATAATAATTAAAATATAACTTTTGCACTACAAAAACATGAAGGCTTGAAGAAAATCTGAGGGATACTGAAAAATTATTTTTACGTAGACATTTAGAGAGTCCACTATGACATAAAGAAGAAACTGCTTAAAGTAATCCTGAGATGAAAGCAGATAAAGATTTAGAAGTGCCGAACACCAAGAATAAAGGTTTGGGAACTAATTATAAATAATTGCCATCATTAGCTAATAATTAATAGGTTCAGAAAATTTTCTGTCTTACATAAAATATGACTATCTCTATTTTTTATTGGAGGGTGGCTCTAGGATGCTCCATAGGCATCAGAATCTGTGGATGCCCCAAATCTTATTTAAAATGATGTAGTACTCACATATAAGCTGTGCATATTATTATGTAATCTTTAGAGTACTTACAAAATGTAATATGATATAAATGCTACATAGACAGCTGTGTAGGGAATAATGACCAGAAAAGTATTATAATTTTGAAGACTTTAAAGCTTTAAAATATTTAATTTCTTGAACATTTTTGCAAAAGATGAAAAAACTGAAAATACCTTTGAATATTTATTTTACTAATCAAGAAATATTTTATTAATAGAGTAAAATCAAATAAATAGAAAATCAAATTTATTCCAGCAAGTGTCATGTTCTTGGATTTAAATGTTACTTATAGTTTGTATATTCAAATAAATATTCCATATTTTTGTTATTCAGTCTATCAAATTTCTTTCAAGTACAAGAGCATATCAGGTACTCCTTGGCTTCTTTGAAAATAACAAGTTGAAAAAGAGCAAATATTTATTAAACAGTTATGGGCAGATTCTATGCTGAGATTTTGGTTCATGGCCTTTTTAATCTTAGCAAATGCATAGAGTAACCATGGTTGCTATGGCTGTGTCATAGTACTTGGAGGTTAAGAGGGATGAAGTCACTTAACTAAGCTTGTATATGTTCTAAGTGTGTGTGTGTGTGTGTGTGTGTGTGTGTGTGTGTGTGTGTGTTGGGGAATCTAACACCAAACAATAACCCAACAGAGTCCATTAGTTCAAGGCAAGGTAAGCTTATCTGTTCCATGATATTCCTTTCTATTCTACATCTGTTCAAATTATTCTTCGTTTAAACAGGAAACAAAGGAACAAAACAGTTTTCACTCTCCTGCCTTCACCATAGTCCTCACTGCCCTTCCAGCAAGAGTAAAGATGTATTCTTGCTTCACCCTTTACTTTTCTAGGATCCTGATAACTTTCGTGTGATTCAGAAGAGAGTTTTGTGTCATTTTGTGTTGCAATAACAATTTAATATCTGGTTTATATGTTGTATAATTCAGCAAATGAGTTGCTAATTATAAATTTTAAATGCTATAAACTTTCATGCCACAGTTTTTGTGAAAGTAAGAAAGATAGTAAGATCAAGCATTCTTATTAGTATTTGTTCTTGTTTTGTTTCTGTTTTAATTTTTAATTTTTTGTGATTTTTTTTAATATAATATAGCTTGATGGTATTTAGATCCCTCCAATATCTGCACCTCACCCTTTTTTCCCCACCTAATTTAATGTACTCATATATATATAATTATGGTTATAGAGTCTGATTTGTGTCTCCAAATGTCCTTCAATGTGGGTCTATCCACTGGACCCACCAAGAATCCCATCCCTGTAAGACACCGTGTTTCCCCCTCCTACAAACCATCAATTGCCTAAAGTTCCTTAGGATGGATTGGGATTTCTTACCTACCTTTCCATGTCCATGCTAGGATTTTGTCTGGTTTGAGCCTACATAGGATTTGTGTATGCTATCAACAATGATGTGAATTCATATGAGTAATTTACCAGCTGTCTGTAAGTCTCTGTTTCCTTGTGCTCATCCATCACATCTGGCTCTTACAGTCTTTCCACCTACTTTTCCTCAGTGATCCCTGAGCCTTGGGACGTGGAAGTTTGAAATAGGTGTCCTACTCAGGGATAAGCAGTCTGAATCCTCTGGTTCTTTACACAGCAACCAACTGTGGGTTTCTGTGTTGATCATAAGAAAACTCTGGTGAGAGTTGAGAGATACATCCGTTGTATGTGTATTTTGTGACACTTAGAGTTAAGCATCTCACAGCTGTTTTCTGTGCTTGACCAGTTCTTGAACTCTGTAATAGTGTCCATCTGTTGCAAAAATCAGCTTCTTTGATAAGGAATGAAAGGTATACTTCTCTGTAAATATGAGAATGCATATTTGAAACAATGTAAGAAATTACATTGGGTTTGTTCCAGAGATGCAGGGATGGTTCAATACATATAAGCTAATAAATATAATAATATAAATGGACTTAAAGACAAAAATCACATGGTAATCTCTATAGGCACAGAAAAGACCTTTGTCAAAGATCTTGCATGCAGGGCTCAGTAGTTAAGAGCACTGACTGTTTTTGTAGAAGACCCTGGTTCAAATTCCAGCACCCACATGGCAGCTAACAACCATCCAGAACTCCAGTTCCAGGGAATCCTACACTCTTTTCTGACCTGTGGATATTGCATGATGTGGGTTCACTTACATATATGAGGTAATACATACATTCACATAAAATAAATAAATAAGTAATAAATAAATAAATAAATAAATAAATCTAACATGCATTCATAATAAAAGTCCTAGAGGAAATTGGGATGGATAGAACATACCTCAAGAATCCCACAGCCAACATCATTCTAAATGGAGAAAAACTTGAAGCATTCCCACTAAAATCAAGGACCATGAAAGGCTGTCTACTATCCCAACTTCCTTTGAATATAGAGGTTGAGACTATAGCTAGAGCAGCAAGACAAAAGAAAGAAATTAAAGGAGTGCTAATTGGAAAAGAAGAAGTCAAATTATCCTTATTTGCAGATAAAATGATATTACACCCAAGAGCTCGCAAAGATTCCACCAGAAAACTTGTAAAACTGATTAACATTTTCAGCAAAGTGGCAGGTTACAAAATCAATCTACAATAATCAATAGCCTTTCTATATAGCAATAACAAGCAATCAGAGAAAGAATTTAGGAAACATATCCCTTCACAATAGCCTCAAAAATTTAAAATATCTAGGGATAAACCTAAAAAAGGCATTAAAGAGCTGTTGAATGAAATCTTCAAGTCTTTGAGGAAAGAGATTAAGGAAGACACAAGGAGATGGATAGACCTTCCATGCTCATGGATTGGTAGAATCAATATAGTGGAAATGACCATCCTACCAAAACCAAGTTACAGATTCAATACAGCCCTAATCAAAATCTCCATGACAGTCTTCATATAAATACTAAAATCCACCCTAAAGTTCATATGGAAGCACAAGAGATCCTAAAAAGACAAAGCAATCCT